CTGAGGGTCTTGTCAGGAAAAGTAAGATCACGGGAACTCCAGAAGAAAATGAGGACATTAATTCAGTTGGGCATTCGCTCCGTAAGCGACCCATTTGTACCTATTCATCGTCGCATAAGAAAGGGGAGTTTTGAGCCTATGATCAACGCTGGTTTGTTCTCATTGATCACAACAAAGAGGCAATGTAGGTGTTTAATCACTTAATTTATCACGATAATATTTAATGTTCAAGCAAACTATTTCAATTTCCTGCTGTCTCGATGTAACCGTTGTGGCGTTTTTTGTTGTTGTTGTTGTTGTTGTTTTTTAATTACCAAGCAAAGAAAAAAGCTCGAAGTAGACGTAACACACGTAAATAAAACTGAAAAGGCTTCATCAAATTATTTCTTGGCGATTTATAACTAATATTTCAAAAGTTCGAAATTATTACGCGATGTCAATTTCACTGTTACCCTTGCACATGGGAATTACTTGACATATGTGATTCTGTGCGTGCCGAATAGAGGCGAAACTTGAGGCAATCTTACTTGACATGTGTGTTCTCTGAGCGTGCTAAATAGAGTGCGAGACTTGATCAATTACAGATGACATATGCGTATTCTGAGCGTACCGAATAGAGTGCGAAACTTGAAGCCAATTTTGCTTGACCACAGACAGCCCAAGCTCCAGCTATGATATGATCATCTTGCGTAAAGAAAAGAGTCATGGCGAAAATATAAGAGTTTGTATGGGAATATTTATGACCGCTCTTAGGAATACAAAGATACAGTCAAATTCTCAATAAAAATACCTCACTTTACTTTCACAGTGCAACTTACTTGACATGTACGTTTTCTGTGCGTGCCAAATAATTAGTTCTACTGACTGGAAGGTGTGGTGCGAGTTCAAACACCGAAACCAACTCTTTTGGAAGAGCAACTCTAAAATGCCCAGATATAGAATCTGAAGAAGGCTTTTTTGTTACTTGGAATACAAAACAAAGATTTGGTGTTGATTGCTAATAGGACCCGAACTTAGTGTTCATTACGTATTGTTAACTTGCGAAGAATTTAGTGTGATCACCTTTCATTACGCAACGTTCTGTAACTAGCAGTAGAAATATATTCAGCTGTCCATGTTACTTAAGTTTCCTGTTCATGGAATGGGAAAGCTGTGACTACGATATAGTAATAGTTATGGTAAAACGCTACATGTGGACAAGGCGTTCAAAACGTCATCAGAATCCCGATATCAAAACAGTATTAAACAAAACGAAATCGTTGGCAGAATTCTTTCAGGTTCGCAAGTAATTTCTTTATGCCATCACATTGTCAACCTATTTAAACATTTGTCGATTTTGGAGAACATTATACTACGTTATCTTTTCCTAATATTTGTATTGTCTCTACACTGACAGCTTAATTCGATTACACTACAAAGCCATTCGTCACAACATAACATTCTAATTATAGGACCTTGTTATTGTCCCTGTTGACCTTGTTATTGTCCTGCTGTTGTTGTTAGTCCATCACCTAAACGTAAGAGGGCCTTTTCGGTGGGTGATGATTTTCTCAACCAGCATTGATCCATTTAAGTCTATGGTCACTGTAAGGCGTAAGTTTATCTCTTTTCATCAAAATAATGAGATCGTTCATTTTATAAGTTTTAACAGTTTTGCAAGAAACTATAACGTACGCTATTGTCATGGTAACGACTTCCTTCCGTTTAACCTCGATCACGGACAAACGTATTAAGGTCGGTATCAAAGAAACGAATAACAATGTCAACTTCGATCACGGACTAAAGTATTAAGGTCGGAAAGAAACGAATTACAGTGTCAAAAAGTGCATAAAACACTATAGGTGCAGGTAACGGCAATCCCATAGTTCTTTAACGAGAGAAGTAAAGAAAAATTAACTGAACACAATTCTGCTATTGAAGTGAATACTCCTTCCGTAGCGGGAACTTCTTCCGAGGTGAAAACCAGCCTCTCATTCCAAAGATGGAATGTCACCATCAACGCTCAAGGAATCGTATACTAATTTTCCATCTTCTTCTTCGTCTTGTCTCCCGCTGTTTTCCTTGCTGCTCATCCAAGTAAGAGCGGTCGAGGCTGACCAGTTCGCTTGGCTGAATGTCTCTCTGATAGAGGTACGACGGGGAGTTTAAGCTCTTGCTGTCGTTGTTTCCTGTGTGACAGAGCGCTGATGCACTGTAACAAATGTTTGCTTTTGCTGCTGCGACAATGTTTACGCCTAGCCCTAAATTCCCGGATCCCAGCCTAAATAGGTACAATCCCGAATCCCGAACTACCTATTAGGGACCCTCTACTTAAGTAATAGTTAAACAGGATAAGAATTAGGAGACCCGTGGTAGTCAATTTACGCCACGTTACACCTTGGGATGTAAGCGTTTTGTAGGCTGTTTTAACTTTTTGTGAAATGAATAACCTAAATTCGATTGCATAATCAGTCATAATTTATGCGTTATGCTCTTTTCGGAACGGTGCTCCATTCGGTATTTTACAGGTCACCTCGCCGCATCTTCGGCAATTAACTTTGGCCAGAGTAAAGACGCGCCAAGCTTAATGACTATGCCCTCGAGTAAAAAAATTTCTAAATGTAAAAATAAATGTAGCGAGCATGAGGAAACGCACATTTTTTCATTGTTGTGATCAAAACGCAAAGATGCAACTTAATTGATACTTGCGGTATCAAACCATTGATTATGACAGGCTGAGCAAGAGCCGTGCGACAGCAGACCGCCGAGGGAGCAAATCACTGAGTGAACAGCAAGGATTGAGATGCACTAATGAGAGCAGTTGAAAAACTAATCACAGTAGAGCATCGTGCTTTATAAGATCACACATAACCAGCCGACCTCATCGCCTGAAGAAGACCAGCAGTATGCAGTCGAAACGTGGCGATCTACATCACAAGTAACTACATCGTGAGACAAACGAAAAACTTAGCTTCACCACGAGGAATAACCACAACCTTTTCTACGAAAGTAAGCAAGTTATCTCTTTTCGACTGAAGTAAGCGGAAATAATTCGCCAGGTGTGCCTACGGTGTTGTGCATGCGTGACATTTTTCGGACGTTACATGTACGAGTACGTGATCTGTTTTATAGCCACAGTTTTAGTGCAAATATTTGACCCCTCAACACATTAGATACTCGTCCATGTAACTTCTCTAGTTTACTGAGGTCTTAGGACGCTTCATTGCATGGATTTGCCTTATGTGGCTAGAAGGTTAAAAGTAAATTTTCTCGTGTGTAATTGCTTTTGATTTCTCAATTTATGGTGTCGCAAACACAGTTTTTGAGAGTCACGAAACAAAAAAATTATCGGGACCTTCTCTCATGTTCTAATGGCAATAAATAGCAGATGAAAACACATTCGCTTGAGAAATAAAGTTAAAAATAACAAGGGTTCTTTGAAGCAAATAGTAGTAGAAAGGGTTTTAGTCCTGGTCGATAATGACTTTTCATATCCTACTTCCAAACTAAGAGAACGCGCTAATGGAATAGGAGACGTACATATATGATAATGCAAGAAAGAAAATGAAAATACAAATAAAGAAAGAGAAGAAAGCATAGCAACCCGTGTTCCTCGCCCTTTTGCAGCGTGCAGATATCTTTTGAGCCAGACCTACACACCTAAACTCCACACCACGCAATGAAACTCGAAAGAGGGAGAGTGCTGTGTACCAACTGGACCACGTACACGCAGAAAAGGCCATGCTTATAAGTCACGCAATCCAACGCAGGCAACACTTGATCGAGAGAGATGTATATTTACACGCAGTTATAGAATGCTTGAAAATTGAAGATATTTTACGATTGAAGCAAGTAAATACACATAGATATCTGCAGAATATTTTAAAATTGTTTTCTAGCAGACAGCGTGAACAACGCCCACGAATAATTCCTACAAAAAGTCTTCGGGTCACGCCACAGATTTTATTTTGGAGGAGTTCTACATGGAAATGTTCGATGGCGGTAAGTGACAACGACAACAATATTCTAGTTTCATTTTCGGAAAAGTAGCACAGTTTTTGAATTTGATAGAGCTATTAATATTTCCTTTCAAGCGAAAGGGCAAAATTTCTGGTCTGTAAAAGCCCAAGTTGTCGCACACAAGAGCTTGTATGTCAACCAACACGCAGCATGTGACTCCTAAAATGAGCGATAATGATAGTAAACAAACAAATTATAGACTAATGAATGTTTTGT